AAAAAACGATATAAATACTGTTCAGTTTCTTGCACAGAGCGATCTTTTCGTGTCTTTACACATCAATGTATCATCACGAGCCGCAGGGTTTCATTTGGTTTTGTTTGTGTATGTTTTTTTGACTCAAAGCCTTGATTCCCATTCACTTGCATTATATGACTGACAGACTGCAATGGTTTGAGTTAAAAATCTTCGTTTGTGTTCTACTGAAGAAACAAAGTCACCTACATCTTGGATGCCCTGTGGGTAAGCAGATAAACATCAAATTTTCATTTTTGGGTGAACTATCCCCTAAGTATTTGGATCATGCTTGGACACAGTATTTATTTTCTCTTCAGTTATTTATTCATGTTATTATTATCATTATTATTATTATGTTATGTTTTCTAAATATATATGTAATGTTTTCTAAATATAGTCTCTCTCTAGATACTTTATTATTTCCAAATAGCAGGGATATGTGGGAAAATTATACGGTGTGCAAAATAAGGGTAGTTGATGCATAAAATGTTCTTGAGCTTTTTTTCTGTCAATATTATGATTCAAATTTAATGTATTAAAATTAATGCAAAATGTATAACTGTATAACTTGTAACTGGTTACCACTTCTGTTTTTACTTGTTTTAAAACATATTAATGCCTTTACTAGTTCCGCAGCATAAAGTACAAATTGGATTGATTTTTGAACTTTATAACCTTATGTACTTGAATTGTGCACCAAGCACTAGGAAAATACAAGTATCATATCGGGACTTCGTATCGGTAGATACTCAATAGGCTATTCAATGACACGGCAAAAAAAACCTGATCGGGACATCCCTACATAATATAACAGAAAACATTAGCTTTCCTGTTATGTCGGTGTTGCTAATAAATGTCACAGCAATGTGTCTTGAATATAGCCTATAAATATTGAATCGAACCATCTGATGGCCAACAGACGTGCGTGTTCACATCTACTGAATCGCTACTGAATCAAACCATCTAATGGTCACCAGACGTGCCATGTAGAGGTGATGCTTGGGGGTTCGGACTGCCCCCACTGCAGAGACATGAGCCTCAGGACTCAGGATTCTCCTCCCGCTCTCACTCATTCTCACGCTCATGTGGTATCAAACTCCTCGTTTCCCAGCAGTGAGTTACTTCTCACAGCGTGCAACCCACCTGTTGTCACAATTCACAGAAGTGTAGCAAGCACTTCCAGGGGTATCAGAGTGGATTATGAAAACAATAAAGAACGGCTACACACTTTAGTTCCTTTGCAGGCTGCCCCATTTTAATGTCCACTGTACACTGTACATGTTGCAGAATACCTCAGTTCTGTGAGAGGAAATACACAGCCTCCTTGCAAAATGCTCTGTGGAAAGAGTGCCCCTCGCAGATCGCGAGAGTGGCTCCTACAGTCGTTATTTCTTGGTACCAGAGAAAGATGGCAGAATCTGCCCAATCTTGGATTTGAGACCATTGAATTGCACAGTGAGCGTTCATTCAAAATGAATATGCTGAGGCAAATTCTCTCGCACTTCAGGCCGGGAGATTGGTTTCTCTCTGTGGATATAAATAATGCTTATTTTCACATTTAGGTGGCCCCTCATTACAGGTGCTTCCTGAGATTTGCATTCGAGGGGATGGCATACCAGTATACTACCCTTCGGGTTATCACTGGGCCCACAAACGTTCAAATGCATACATGGGGTTCTCTCTCCTCTGAAACGTGAAGCGTGGAATGTGCATCCTGAAATACCTAGACGATTGGCTGATTTTAGCCCAATCAGAGAGCATGACAAGCTCAGACTCTTCGCTCCCCTTCAGAGCTTTGGGCTGACTGTGAATTTGCAAAGAGCATGCTGACGGCGAAACAGAACGTCTCTTTTTTGGGAGTAGAGCTGGATTCAATCACTATGCAAGTGGGTCTCTCAGAGGAGCGCTCACAGAAAGTGGTCAGCTCTCTTGCAGTTTTCAAGCTAGGGCGAGATCCTGCGCTAAAATGTTTTCAGAGGACGCTCAGACTGATGGCTGCCAACTCAGCAGTGTGCAGATTAGGGCTCCTGCATATGCGTCCACTACAGCTCTGGCTAAAAAGGCCGTGTGCCACAGAGCACGTGGCGCGCAGGCACCCTGCCTGTCAAAGTGCCCCATGGCACTGTGTCGCCAGGGTGTTCCTATTGGCCAGGTGATCAGGAGAAAGACTGTTATCACAAACACATCGGGCACAGGCTAGGGAGCCATATGCAATGGCAAACCGGCCTTTGGGATGTGGTCAGAAACAGATAAGTCCTGGCACACAAACGGCCTAGAGCTTCATGCTGTTCATCTAGCTCTCGAGTATTTTCTCCGGATATTCTCCACCAACATGTTCTTATCAGGTCGGACAACACGACAGTGGTAGCATTTATAAATCACCAGGGAGGTGTGAGCTTGTGACCTCTGCTATGGCAAGCTAAAGACCTCCTTCTATAGGCA